TTCTAATCGATCTAGTAGTTTAAGAACTTGTTTAATGTTTAATGCAAACAAACAAACAAATCTTACCTCTTTATAATATTATATATAGATAAAAAATAGTGTACTCCATTAATAAAACTGTAGGCACTGTAGGTTATCACCTATATTAATTTTTCATCTTCAATAAATACATATTAAAAATTAAGAATTGTTTAAAATAACCACATAAACTTATTTTTTTTCCTTCTATAGTTAATATTTATTACTTTATTGTTAGATTAAATTTTATACCATGATCCATCAAAAGTGTATTTAATTTCGTTGAGGTTCAAACTGGTTATATTTATACATAATTCTTAGTCAACCTAAGTATTTTATCATGAAACTTATCTAAACTCTTATTAGTCTTCACAAAAACATTATTTACATAAATTTCGACCTTAACTTACTGGAGAAGCGTGACGTTGATTAATAGCCAGTTGTTTGTTACATTCTTCACGCATTTTGCAACGAAACTTAGTTTACGTTACATTAATATTCTTGTTAAGAATAAAAAATACTACATATAATTTTTCTTTTGAAGTTATTATCCGGCGGTATTAGGCTCCTTTGTAAAATATCAACATAGTATCATATATACAATAGCGTACGAATTTACTATCACAAATATATATTTATATAAAAATAATCCGTATAGATAAATAGACTACGGTAACCGTTTACCATCAGAAGGGCCATAAGCTTCTTTGCTACCTACGTGGTATAAAAAAAATAGATAGTTAAATTCTTTATTCGCTAATCACAAATAGCTAATGATTGCATAGCTGATGAATTACCAATGATTGACAGACAGCTAGTAATTTAAAAATGTAGAAACCTGTATTTGTTTATTCATATTTAAACCACTACTATACGGCTATAATAAAAAAAGTACATTACAAAGAAAATTAAAAGAATATGTATGTCTTGTCACGATATCAGCAATCTATTACAAGCTATACATTTCAAAATATATTTACCGGTGATATCGATTGGAATACGATGTGAGGTACTAAAAGGTCGTAGACACTGCGAGTACTTGTTATCTTTTTTTTTATGTAATTGAAATAGAACTAGATGACGGGTCATCTGATGGCAAGCAGTGAACATCGCCTATATACAGAAACAGCACTACGGCTTCACTATCTCTTTATTATATGACACTCGTGGTATCACTCAGATTTTTTTACTACAGAGGACTAATATGCCTCCTATCCTGTAATTTTATTGACTAATAGCACCCTAAAATACAAAAAGAACTTACAAAGCAAGCTGTTCGGCAGATGAAGTAGAAGTAGGTAAGACAGCTAAGCCCACGCACACTATATTTTAAAGCGTCTCTTAATGAGAACCCAAACTATATAGATCAAATATCACTGACGCATAATCGCCTTAATAAATGTTTGTAAACCTCACACGAAATGTGTCAAGTTTAGATGTCGTATATTGAACGGTTATAGATCGAGGCTCGAATTCCTAACGGCGATCTTTGGCTATTCGTCAAGCAGAAGTTGGCTTTCAGTCGCTTCATAATGGTTTCAAGTGCTATCGTCAAATAAAATGGTGTGTATTCAACTAAAATAATAACTTATATTTTGTAACCCCACATAAAAATGTATCATGACCACATAAAAATCTATGACAGAGGCATAGTTTCAGTACTGGACAATTTAGGCTGAACTTATATTTGAATTAAATAGAAATATATATTTATTCATTTACGTATGTATATAACCATAATATAATATAATATATATGTATTTATTTCGATAATTTAATATCCCCTCCAGAGGAACACATACAATTAAAACTTTGGCCGTATCAAATCGCGGCTGAAGTACTACATAATATATTTATAATACAAAAAAAAAATGTGATAATGAGAACAGTAGAGAAACAAATAAATTTAATAAAAAAAAATATATTCTTACCTGAGCAAATCCTTTTTGAGCCAGCACTACTTTGTAGACTGGCCTATTGATTGCGTCTCCCTTGTGTAAGGTAACCAAAAATATGACGACCAGCCACCAACGCATTATCGGTGCTATGAATACACTGTAAACAATGTATTGATACCTATCACATATGTATTCAAGTTTTTTTTTTATATTAACGTATATCAGTGAAGAAATAATTACGTAAACACTATAATCCGAATCTGTATTTAAAGCAATAAAACAACATTATACAATGATGGCCAAAAAGGATAATGGTTGACGTTGATAAAGGACAATATCTTCTTAAAATCATTTAGTAACGCGCCTATAGAATAAATAACTCATTTCTGTTGTTAATTAGAGGTTTATGTTGATTTTATGAAAATTAATGTACTGTACATTCCCCATTGTTATTAACTACGTCAGAGTATCTGTGATCTGTTATAACGTATTACATATATCCCAATTTATATGCTTAATCTATGAACAAATAATTTTCGACAAGGATAAGTATAAATTCCAATCGCTATAATAATAATAAGTGATGGATCTCAAAAATGAGTCAACGAATTCCTTCCAATATCGAAACAAACAAACACGCAAAAAATACCACCATTGTAAACATCTTTCCTTTTTTGGATTCAGTTAAAAGTGAGTTTTTTATTAGTATTTTTACCTAAATATCTGCACTAATTTTGATAATCATATATCGCCATATTTTCCACAGTCTCAATGTTCGGTATTTTGTTTAATTTCACTCAAGTATATTGTGTGCTTTCGCCACAATAACAGTAATACGACTGGGGATTCTTTCCCGTTGCCACAAACATTGCTATTGCTTTTAAATTAATGTTTGTAAACTATATAGTTTCTTATACATTGTTGCTTTGTAACATTGAGATTTAATACAGAAATTTAATAGATGTGTTGTTGTTCTCCCAATTTGTAGCGATAGTACCGCAATGAATTGCCGCTAGATTTTTACTTTAAATTTGTTTAATAATATTTTACGAAATGACACTGTCGACAATAATTTTTGCTTTAACTACACATACTTTCGAAATATTAATGAAAAATAGAACGGATACGAATGACCTAGGTGATGATGACAAATAAAGTAATGTAAATATATTATGTGTATTGTGACTCTGTTTAAAAAACGCCTGCTCTATTATGTGTGAATATAATATGTCTATGTTTTAGTGACGATTCTTTAGTAATTCACACTTCCCTGTAATAACAGTGGCTGATCTTAGACATTATTATGTAAATAAACCTTATGATTAATATCTGTATATATTTATGAATACCGTTGCTGTTTTTTAAACCGATTTCGTCTACAATTAAATGTTTATTTAAAATCCAATTTTTTGTTACTCACAGATTGACCCGACTAGGATTACGACGCCTAATTAGGAGCAAATTCGTGTCGCTAAGGACTTCAATGAACCAACTTTAGCTTTACATTTCAATATATTTTCGGACTTAATGTATTAAATTTCCATGTCTATTTAAGAAGCTAGAAAAATTGCACAAATATCTTGCGCGTTTCTTGAAAGATTAATAAAAATGCTGCCTCCCTGAGAAAACTTTATTCCAAAACTCTACAGCGAGACCGACAACATTTTCATTTTTATTCGTCTTAAAGACCCCGTATAAATTTTGCTTCTGACAGATTTTAACATTTTTTTTAGTTTATTAGAATTTCTCTCAATGAACCACAACTTGCACTTAAATTAGCAATACATTTTTATTAAGCTATAAATTATAATTTTATTCTAAAAACCTTTTAATGTACTTGAATTTATAAGTAAATTAAATCTACGATGTAATAATATCACCATGCCGCCCGAATAACTCGTTCTATGGTTAGTTTCCAATTTTCCTTCTCTTATAAATCATACCTACCTACCGAAACATATATTTGTAGATACATTGTATGATCTATTTTTACTGTACATATTGAATGTTTTGTATCCTCATATGCCTCTTATTACAATATTATTTAAATAGAAAGCAGTGAATGATACAGAAATTTAGTATCTACTAAATTTAAAATTACTATAATTTAAGTAACAACGCTATACGTAAAAGCCTATGGTCAAATTGAGAATATATTAATATTGTTTGTCTATAATCTTACTGAAGGTAATGTATGAATTTATAATTTAAGTTAATTGTAGTCAATCAACCACTACTATATATTAATAGTAAAGAAACAAAACTTAGTCCTCTCTTTTAGAACCAATATTACAAATATATATAATTAAAAACATTCATAGATAATGAAATACAGGATTTCGACATGCCTATAAGCAGATGCAAGTCAATCAAAAACTCAATTAAATAATCATGTAATTATATAATGTAAATATTACTATTGCACTGAATATTATTTACATTCAAATATTAGTGATTGATTTCGAATACCGCAACCACTAATACACATTAATCAGTATATATTTAGATCAGAACTTGTTTAAGTACTCGCAAATCAGCGAGCGCTTCCGAAACTACTAACAAATGCAAATTGATTGTATAATTATGTAATTACATAATGTGGTGAGCGAATTGCGCTACATTGTTGAGATTAGTCTGCTGCATCGGCTTAGGATTATAATTGTGTATGTCTATTACAATTGAGTATAGAGTAGATTATGGAATATACACTGTAATCTGCTCAATATTATGATATCACTTGATAGTTCATTAATGTCAGTATTATGAGCATAGTTAATTAATAATAGGGTAACGCATCAGACACTTCTACAGTAATCTGAGATGCATATAGAATTAATAACAAGTAATTGGTTATCTCGATATTAATATATAATAAAACAAGTTAAGTACAATATACAGTTAAAAAAATACAATTTGTGATTTCCAACAATGACGTTGTACGTTTTTGCTTAGATACAAAATTATCTTACTTACTTATTTTTAACTGTGCTACAACAATTTTGAATTATTTTAGCACAGTTTTTTATATAATTTTGTCATTTAGCTATTTGAATACTATATTGCTATTTATGGTATTGTTCGCAGGTTAAGGCCCCGGCTTATTACATGGGGACTCAAGCTCCAAGCACTCTGCCTCGGGGAGGTTCTATGCTAAGAGCTTTTTCTCCTGCGGCACCCGTACCCGCCGACCGCGTGAAGAGTCTACCAGGAGGAGGTATGAAATACTTCCATATATTTGCTCTCATTATTGAACAATTCTCAATCGTTGAAAATAATAAATATTCATAATATTGCCTTCTATCAAATCATGTGTAACGAAGCAAAAAATAAATCCCTTCATTTGATTTTCTTTCGAAATTGTTTTCCTTTTTTAGATTTGGACAATCTTTCTTCAAATATGTACATATAAAAATTAAACAGCCGACTCAAATGAGTTGCCTACAAAGGGCCATGGGGCAGTTCTGTTAGGTATAAAGATGTGTGTGTAGGTCTCTCTGCGCCGATCAAGCCTTTGCATACAAACATCCACGGGAGACGGCCCCTAAGATGTTTTCCCCAAGGTGCCGTTTGTCCCCGAGGCCCTGGCCGACTGTACACCATCTTTGGTAACCTGAGCCACCACGTAATGCCAAGTGTGGACCGATAAATTCTTGCTGCTCTCATACCTTACTTGCCTCCAAAAGTTATCAAGTAAATTCTGATGTTTCTACTTTTATAACGCAAGAAATTATCGGTATTTATAAATTGTGATAACATATTCTGTTGGCTTTGACAATTTATTTGCTCGCTTGCTAATTTATTAATGTTGTGTTGACAACACTGTCCATGGATAATTTATTTCAAAATGAAACAAATGAACCCCCGTCAGCATTTCATTTAACTTATCTATCGGTCAATTATTCTGAAATGGCATCGCAATATTCTATTATCAATTTTTATTTATTTATTATAATAGTTTATACTTCTTATAAATAAATATATTAATAATAAGTTATTACATTATTTATGCCTAAAAATTGTTAACGAAAGATTTATATCCAGATAAATATTGATAGGGTTTACAAATAGTATTTATCGTAACTAATAACTCAATTATATGTTACTTATAATATGTTATACCTATATTGAATGCAGGTAATTAAATGAGATTAGATTAAACATATTCTAAAACTATATATCTCTATAATAAAATAATAGGCTTTTTGCAACCACTATCAATCTTAACCGGTTTACTTTTGATTGTATTGGATTCGATTCCTCGCACAATGCAAACATTTCTATAATTTGTACTGGTCGATTTTTTTTTATTCATGTATTTAAGTATTTCTATAATTTATCTAGCCAAAATCTACTTAGTTTGGAACTAGATGGCGCTTTTGAATTGTCCAGTCCTTATTATATGAAGTTTACGGCTCGTATCCGATATATTATCAAATGTTACTAGATACAAATCCCTTGCATCAAATGATATAAAACATAATAATATACAAATTCCTTAATAAAATAAAGTCACATCGAAATTAGAATCACCTTCCAGCAGTGGTATTTCCTAACCGATACAATATTGAAACCTTCGAGAAAAGAGCATATTCCTTCTTAAAAGGCCGGCAACGCACTCCCCCTAATACCGGGTTTTGCGGGTGCTAATGGACGGCGTTAATTCACTTATCACCAGGTGAGGCACAAGCTCGTTTGTCCTCTATGTTATAAAAGAAAGTATCACTGGTATTTTTTATTTAAACTGTAACTCAACTCTATTATAACTTTTATCTTCTGAATTAAAAACAATTCATATCAAACCACATTAATTGATATCTTATATTTGTAATAATGTTGTTGTATATATGTATAATAATAAACGTCCCAATTTCCAAAGTACCACCTATATAAACTACGAGTATCATTTTAATTTATTTATCTTCAGATACGCTATATCATTGTCCACTTAATATTGACATTCTTAAAAATGTACATTCTGTGCTTACTATATTTTGTATATTTAACAATCTTGGCACCTTTATTTTATAACAGTTCCAAACACATACATATAAATAAAATTAATATCATTGATTATACTTATCCATCCGAAATGTTAGCTTATCTATAATACATTCTTTTAAATTGACTAGTACTACAAAACACGCCAAGATTGTTGGTATTGAATGTCTCGTTTCAATGTGAAAGCTGTTTGTAAATTGGACATGTACACTTTACATTAATTCCAGAATATTAGCATAATTACTAGGATACCAAAAAACTAGCGCAGTCACTTCTTAATCAACTTGACGAGACAAGAATATTGTAGTATCTTGAAGACACTGCCACTCGAATCCTTTTAGATACTTTCTAAAGTGCTCAAAAATTTAATATTATCTTTACAAATGGCATATTTATATTTATATTATATATAACATTCCAAATTATAATTATATAATGTAATTTGGAACGTTAAAGAAATTAATATTAGGTATTTGAACGCCATTGAATATTGGAGCAAAAGTATGACGCAGGATACGCCTCATAATATAATTGTTCGATTATGATCATAAATATTCATAGCCACAACAGATGAGCTTGTACCAAACTTTATAATTTGTTCACATGACTTTGATGTTCCTGTAGCACGTTTATTCCACACACACCCACACATATATACAAAGCTATTGATTCAACTCTGCCCACAGTGCCCACTCAACACATATGTGCTTAATATGTTATAGTTATGAAAAAACTGCGAAGTTGAAGGCAGAAATAACATTAGAATTTGTTTCTCCAGGTCACTCTGCTGAAGGGTATATGTCATCGCCCGAGCGTGTCGGAACTAGAGTCCCGTATGAGGAACCTTACTACACCCAGTTCCTGGGACCGACGACTTCTCGTCCTATGGCTTCTGCGATAGACGAAGAAGCCAGGTGATAAATACTTTAATATTCTTGCTTATTAAAAATTTCCCTAATAAAATTTCTTCCCTAATATTTATCAAATAAAATTTATTTTAGCAGTATAAGACTAATTAATTACTTAAAAAATAGTTATAAACGTCTATATGAAACTTGAAGATCTCGATGGTCTAGCGGTTTAGCACACCGCTTTACTTCTGATGATCGCGGGTTCGATTCCTCGCACATTGCAAACATTTGCATTCATGGGTATGATTGTTTATGTCGCTCTGGGTGTTTTCTATGTATATTAAATATGTTCACAAAAAATCCATTATATATATTTATATCAGTTGTCTAGTACCCATAACACAAGTTCTGCTTACCCTGGGACTAGATGGCCCTGTGTTTATTGTGTATATAGGATTATATATAATTTAAATTAAAAAGGTCACGATGCAAATTTTAATGTTATAAGTAACTTTCAGCGATGGAATGATAGTGGAGGATGCATATCAAATGTACGGGGTGAACCCCATAACATCTGCGCCCCGGCCTATGCCGCGTCCACCATACGATGCCAGGTAACTTGATTCGATATTGAAACCTTATTTTTATTAATTATGTAATGAAAAGAAACTACTTCATTAAAGTTTGAATGACAACAACAAAAGCAGTTTGTATTATAGTAGGAGTAGTTATGGTAAGAGATACGGCATAAGAAATATATACCATCATTTAATTTAATAATGACATCATTCATATATATATACTATGTAGATTTATAAATCGCATATGGGTTGTCTGTAATTTAACCCAGGATATAGATCCTGGGTTAAATCACAGAAAAGAGTAAGGTAGAAAAAAAGAAATAGCAACATAACATAGAACACCACTATTGCCAACACTCACTTAAACTTGCAAGAAATATCAACCGAAAGTTAATGATAGTTAAAGGTAATGAATGTAACTATATATAATGTAGATACGCTATAAAGATACTCCGTATAACAATAATAGTGCACGACAATTATGTTGATAAAACATTCACTAATCACAAGCGACTCACTAGTGTTAAGTGAATGTTTTGTTAGTAATTGGGGATAATAATAATGCATTATCCAACAGTACCATAAGTAAAGTAACCAAAGTTATTGATAAATATTATATATCTTTTTACGAATATATTTTTATTACTAGTTATATATACATATTAGCATATATATTTTTAATTCATACTGTAACATTCTTTAGACACATCATTTTCATAAATTACAAATGAAAGTAGATAATTAAAAACAAAATTTAAGATATACATAATTTCGTACCATAGATTTAGCCAGTCAACTCTTGTGCTATTTATAAGACTACATATTATGAATATAGTTATTATTAAACATGGATAAAGTAATCTATATATTCCTTATTCAATATCTTAGACCATTATTATTATCTAAGTATAGTAGACCAACAAATATTGTTCTAATTAATATTTGTATTCTATTTTACTAAAATTATATCTACAATTATCTAAAATTGATTAATATTTAATATTTCTATAAACTGTATAATGCCCAAGCTAATTAAAATTATGTTTTGATTAATTTATAATTGACAGTATAGCAACGTGGATGACTTTTTACAATTATACTCACTGCTGCGCGTTGTTATGGTCACAATGTACACTGAAGGTATTACAAAAGGCTTGCGTTAAATATATGCTTCAAGCGATATACTGTTGTAATTGGATGTCTAGTTATTTACTATTTGTTAAGTTCCTATCCCACAGGTTTATTTACATTTGACTGATTATAAAAGATCGATAGGATTTGCTATAAATTACTTTTCAGGCTGCCTCAAGACGATATGCAGCGGCTTCGCGTCGAGAAGATGGAGAGGCAACTTGCTAACCTGACGGGACTGGTCCAGAAAGCCCTGCAGGTGCCAGCTACGGCTCCGCCTCCGGTAACCCCGCGTCAAGAGTTCCAGGGGTATCAAGTTAATCGTCCAGCAGCACAAGGTAACCTATATTTTACTGAATATGCAGATACACAGATGCGGAGGAAACTATAAGTGATCAACGTGGGCTGCGTATGTTTCGACATTATTTGGCGTGTTAAAAGTATCTATATAATAATTACCTCTAATGTAGACTTTACTCTAACTTTAGACTATTCACATACATATGTATATATATATATATGGATTTACGAATAGAATGAAGGTAACGTACGTATTTTCCGTAGTTTGTAATACAAACTTATTATATTAATTGTATTTTCATTTAAGCCAAAAATATGTATGTATAATGTATCAAATATTAATGAACTAACAGACGATAGAATGGATAATTAGATTATTAATGTAATTTTGGAACTTATACACGACTTTTGTGAAATAAAAATTTATTTAAATATATTGATATTTAAATAAATTTTAATTCAAATATGAATGTTACTAAAATATGCGTCTTTACGTCCATGTCTGTGTAAATGTTGAACGGCTTACTGTCGGGAGCTTCAAACTAAATGTCGCTTGCGTTTTCCTGCACTCAGATGCCGCGAGATTTGCCAGCAACGAGAGACCTCCTAAATTAGGGAGAGATAAATTTCGTAAGTGTGATTGGACGCGGCCCAAAAAAATAGCTGATGTATTACTAGTGTCTAATCAAATACAATTTGTATCATCCTACTCTTTTAATACAGTTACGTTTAACTTAATTAAAAAAATTACCGGTAAACTATGAACCATTTTTAATACTACTAATAATTACAGTAATAACAAAAATAGGAAACGAACTGAGTTTTCTCCTGTGCCTCAAATTGTTAGGCCTGTCACCCGGTCGTTTGACGTCACGAAAGCTCTTCGCAAAGTGGTGAAACAAAACCGCAAATTGTGGGTTACACCGCATTCTATTACTAAGACACTTAAAACACCAGTAGATATTTCCGCACATCTCTGTATGTGAACAGGGAAAGCGTGACTTTCACTCGCTAATAATAACGTGTGCAAACGCAAACAATAGTAAATTACAAATCAAGATGATGACATTCGCAATACATTACGCTATATCTACTTATTGTCACGCTTGCCAAAAAGAGTTAATAAAGTTATTTTCAGCTTTGTTACAAACAATTTTATTGGGTTTATCCATTTTTATCGCCTTCATCCGCTACGTTTTGACTATCGCCTAATCATCGCCTAATACAATGGTTTCATGTGTGTGCGCGCAAGTCTCATGGTAAACTGCAGCTGTAAAATTTATAATAATATATACATGTCTCATCCTAATAGTTAGCCCCTGCAAAACTCGAAAGGGACTAGCTATATCATTTAAAGAAATAACTTTGCCGCTATTTTACTTTGCTTGCTAGTTTGTTTCGAGTTTAATATTATTGGGAAGGGGCTAACAAATGCTTTTTACGTAGTACGTCATTGCTGCATTGAAAGCAAGACCATTAGAATTGGAGACCACGTTATTAGACACATATAGTCAATACTCAATTATACGTTGTTCATACAAATTAGTTTAGTAAGTTTTTAAACGAAATAACTCAAGAAAATATGCTTCCAATTTGCATGCCGTTGAACCTTGCTATCTGTATCATCATTTAAATTTATTTGGGAGATTTAATGTAGTGAACATGGATTTTGCTCATGCCGTTGATGGCATATAATTTTTGAGTTAAGTCATTTTGAAACATATGATGTCTGTCTTTATTATTAATTTTTAATATTTGGTATGAGTTTTGAATTTGTACACCTTTATTTTTACGACACACTTCTCTTTTACCCCGTTTTTGTCAATTTTAATACACTATACATTTAAATTTACTTCACGATATCAATTTGATTGATTCAATCAAATATTTGGCACTATATTCTAATCACATTGGCACCTAAATTCCGATACCTTTTTGGAAACCTTTATTCGTAGTGTACAGATATCGTAAAGGCCCTGTAGTAGAAATAATATTTTCAAAATTTAAGTGGCCGAAGTGATTGACAGGAAATTTATTATTTCAGAAAAATCCGTGTCGTTTGAGAAATCGGTGTCGTTTTGCGATGATCCGCCAGATCTCAATTCTCCCAAACAACACTCGCCTCAGCATTCAGGTATGCATACAAATTGTCTAAATGATAATTTAAAATCGTATAATAATATAGTGGCCTCTATTATATATTATAATGGTACCTGTATCAAACAAATCCGGTGGTGGTTAACAAATGCGGAAATCAAAATTATGTTTTATACAGTATATCAAATCTTTAATAACTTCATCGTTTTAAATGAAGCTACGATAACAAGAATTAGTCACTCCACATTGAATTTTGCTTCATTTATTATTATTCCCCTTTATGATTATATAATTTGATATATTTTATTTATTATCATTACATTTCAGGGACGACATTTTTTTATAGTTATGTAGTAAACGGCAATCAGTTACGTAATATTATTTAATCAATAAACTATTGTTATCTCATGACATCAAAATATAATTGAATGAAACTATGACAGAATTTTGTTATTGTCAACTTAGTTACCGGTCATAATGGACATATTAATATTTTATTTTTATAATAAGTTGGCGTCATATATCCATTTGTTAATATAGTAGAGTGAGTTTATGTTTAAGCTATCATAAACTATTTTCTAAGAATGAAGTTTAGTACGTATTATATTATATATTAAATTAATGTTTTATAATAGTAATGATTAGGAATATTTATGTTAGTCATATAATCTCGATATTAAGTTCCAGTTACTGATCGTATATGTAAGTTTGATACATATCAAACTTACGTATATAATAATAATTCAGATTATATTCTTCATTCTTAGATATTTCTTAATTCCTTTCTATTAAATCTTCCTCTTTTATCACTCTCGTAGTTAATATCATAACCATATTCATAATTCTTGTATTTGATTTCTTCCCGCTTACTTCTTTGCCATAACAAGCCGATACCAAACCAACAAAACCGGCAATCAAATCATCAACTTTGCCGCGGACATCCTCTCAAGGTAACTCTTTAAATCCATTGATATTGGTGTAAATATTTGGGCTGTGACCAATTTGTGCAGCCTACGCTTCCAGTGTTAGAGAAACACCTTAAATTAGGAGCTTTAAAATCGGAATGATGACATTGATTAATAACTGTCCTTCAAAAGCAATCGTATTAATAGACAATAATACTAAACATAATACTATTACTATTATTATTATAAAAGCTTATATTTAATTAATTGTATATATTGCTTTCTATTATAGATAATAAAGCGAGGCTGCTACGCTTACTAAGTTTGCTTCTACTTACACCGTATATGTTAGAAAATGACGTGAACGTTATTTCTTGATATTTTATTACTCTATTACGCTTACAGAACGTGATCGTCTGAAGCCTGCGCCGCCGCCGAAGCCAGCCGGCCTGGTAGGCCAGCAAATTGCTATGGTTCCACAGAGGAACTACTCTATCAACGTCTCTCCGGACTTCTTCAATCAACTGCGCATTCTGCAAAAGCAGAGTCACGATCTACGTATTGAGGTGAGATATTTAGCAATTGAACATTGGGTTCGTTTATCGCGAATGATCTCTTAACGCTTCGCGAATTGTTCATTGCATTTGCGATGGAACTTGTTTCTGTTCACTTGAATTTTATTTTATAAGTGAATGCTATTTGATTCACAGACTCGCAATTTGCGTCGTACGACTCTGGCTCAGGCCATGCAAATGAGGCAACTCATGGGCGAAACTATTGTCAAGATAGGCGCCTTAGCGGCCAGCATTGCTAGCGGCGATCATGATCCCGAGACAGTATGTTTTAAAAGTTCTTATTTTGAAACAAAATTCGCCGCTCATATTTTGTAACGACATGTTTTTAATGTATTATTGTTTTATAGCAACTAACTCGCGAAGAAGAAATTTACAAGCAAGACATGCTCCTGCTCGAGAATGATCTGTACGAACTCGAGGCTACAGTTGAACGTCTTCGCGGTCAAGCTGCTAACAAGTAAAGATCTGACTCATTGTTATTTATAATTAGAATTATTGTCGTTCTGCCGTAGTATTAGGTTACTCAACGCAACTTATATAACATATATTCTAATTATTACAATTCGTTTAGTAAAGAAAAATCGCGTTCTTTCATGTTGTTTTGTTCAATTAATTTAAATAAACAATATTTCAGGGAGACAAGGGTTAACATGGCAGACATAGAAAGGATTGCTATGGTGCTCTCGAAGAGCAGCAAAACTGTTGCTGATTGGAAACTCAAGTTCCCGATCCTGCAGGAGACAATGAAAGTGAAGTTAGCTGCAGAAATGGAAAAGGTAAGTAATAAGATCAGGATGACCTTTGGTCCGACTTTAATCTCTTGAAAAAGAATGTCAAATACGATTATTTATATTCATTATATTATAGCTTTTATTAATGTAATATATTTACAGGTTGTCAGGAAGGAAAAAATGCTTGAAGAGGAGCCTGAGCGTCTGGAGTTGGCTTTACGTCGTTGCAAGAAACTCACCGGAACTTTGGTGACCTTGAAAAGGTATACGTTTTACAAAATGTATAATGCCTTAAGTCCGTTCTTACTCCAATCAATACTCTATAATCAATAAATATGTACGCCCCATAAGAAGTTCCAAGAATTAAATACTTTTTCTTTTGATTCTTTTAGTTTCCAAGTTAAATACTTTATATGTACGCACGTTCTAAAACTGATTTTTTAAATCAAACTCATTACAGGTTGGCCTGTGTACAAGAACAGCGGCTTCCGATCACTGATGGACGCATATCTCCGGGGTCTTCCCAAAGCTCCACTTTCACAGGTGGCCCATCATCTGAGGAATTTAACTCTGACAGCACTTGCCACGTTGCTCAAACTCACAACAAGGTAACAGATGCAAAACTAGTTAATCATTAATCAATATATCAATTTGGGGAGATCCTCTTGACTGACCAATTACGATATTATTAAATTAATGAGGGTCTTTAAATTAGTTTTAGTTAGTTTCTAATATGTAGCCGGAATTCGAATCATGTTTTCATCAGCAGAAAGTTCAAACTAACATTGTCAGAGGATTTATAATTACATAAAATATTAATAATATATCCTACATCTAATATACTTAACGATTCCTGAAATAAATATGTCAAGTTTTTGACAAAACAGCGTCTAAGTTAAAATTGTTTGGTACCTAATTTCTATATACTGGAATAATAACATTAAACATCCAGTGTAATAAATTCCTTTTTAATAAATCTATAGACGTCACCAAAGTCAGAATTATTTATATACTTCACCTACTATTTAAAATAAAACATCCATATATGTAAGTACTAATAATACATTCTATCTTCAGGTCAAATTTCATCAAGATCCGTTTAACTGTTTAGTGTGAAAAGATAACAAGTAAATAAAAATCTCTTATTGTCTTTATACTGGCATTACAACTGTAATGTTAGTGTGGATGGTACCGCTAAGACAACTCAGCTCTTTTATTTATATATAATGTAAAGAATATATACATTGTCAGGTACCGGCTATTTGTTATATTAAGGTTGTATAATAAGAAAAATATAAATCAAAGTCTGCCTTTAGAATAAGTTTTTGATAATGACTAAGTAATAATATACGTACATATGTAGCGATGATATCAAAATAATGACAATAATTAAATTATATTAAAGTTTGAAAAATAGTAATGAGACATCATAATGGTTTTAAGTAATTATTTATCTGCAATTTACTATTTTATCCATTATTGAAACAGGTTATTAAGTAATGAATTGAAGACTAACGAACTTAGTATGTCCACAAATGAGAAATTAAACAAGCAAGTAATGAAATCAAGTAGGAATAAGACTTGTGATTGATAACTATTTGATTACCGATATTTAATCTTACGCTATGTTGATGATAATATTCATGATTTACAGACAGACTGATGACATGTTATAATGAATCATAGCGATAGGTATATTTATATAATATAATTATATTATATGTATTTCATGTACCTAAACCACCTTCGCTTAACAATTGCAGGTTTGCCAAAGGTTTAAAATTTGCATTTTTTTCCAACACTTCGATTATTATTATTTTTTTAAGTTTATTTACTATAATTTGCTCCCCACACCAAACCTACTAACTTGTTTGGTAGTGTGCCCTTAAAATGTAGAATTTGCACCAGTTTTTTGCTTTCCTAACTAAAAGCATGCGCCCCTGTTCTGTTTCTGAAACTAAGCATGAAATTTTATGCATTTTTTTTAATAGTCAATCCTTACACCTATAATACGACCTTCGCCATAATTACTGCCATACCATTATCATCTGTAGTTATTGCTTATTAAGATTAATTTAGATTAATAATTTACAATTTGTCCTACAGTATTGTGGTCCACCACGCATTATGGAATGATCCGGTTTGTATATTAGAATAACCCGTGTATTCTGAATGTTATCATGAATTCGGCCTCAAAATTATAAGTGTGCTTACGAAATGCAGCTCGCGTTTCATAAGTACGCTACATTATTTACAAAATTGGCATCAAAAAATCTAAATTCTTCCTTTATTTAGTCACGCTCTGTCCGTCGAAGATTCTAGAATCTCTAGAATTTTTAATAAAAAATTCATCACAACCTGCGACCTTATTTGTTGTAACTTTACTTAAATAATTTTTTTGTTGTATATATGGTACGTTACTGTACTAATAATGATATTTATACTACACTAAAGCTATCTAGCTTCTATAATACCAAATTTCAGCTCGACTTATTGTAACTATTATTAGCTATAAGTTTAATTGAAATCAATAAACAATTTGGATTACATAAATAATCCAAAATTGTAGTACATACTCGTACTTTAATATCTAACATTAAATCATAAGTAAATATACATGAGTATTTGGCATACACATTTATATACTGTAATAATAAAAATATATATAAAAACGAAAGTAATTAATTAGAATGACGCGAAGAATCTCGCATAATATAATTTAATTAAATTATAAATAACTAAGTCCAAGTGACTCAATACCACATCTATAAAGTTGTATTGAAATATAAGGATGCTTACGTTACACGTTAAGCCTTAAATTGATACGAGACAGAGTGTGACGAGAACCTTAAACAGAATACAATGAAATTTAAAATTCTTTTGCACATATCCCTGCAACCAAACGCACTTTTCGTCAACGTTGCATTTTTTAATCCTTGCTTCAGGAAAATAATGCCAATTTTAATAACATTTCAGCCATGAACCAGATGTCGAACGTATGTAGCATTGGACCTGCCATTATCATGATCAGTATTAAGTCCAAACTTGTTTGTCGTATCGAACTTCTTGGTTACCCATGTAATTTAATACTTCGAATATGTGTGTTTAGGTAGGTACGTACCGAATACGAACAGGCAGAAATTATAACCTAATTGTCAATACATCTTTAGTCACCTCATTTCAGTTTTATAATATTGTATCTAATTATTATATAATATACTGTATGTATGTTTACAGATATACGATATGTATTGCAAATGGAGTGACTATCAGATGTGATAATACGCGTATATAAAATATATTATAATAAATTATTTCGTCTGTTTCAATTATATATTGTCTTATTATGTCAAGGACCAAATGTGACTGGTCTATTCCCAGGAATCTTCTTCGATACTACTGTAATACTATTTTACGTTGTGTCAATTTTATCGAATTGTTTTAACAATGGATTTCATGGTCTTTTTTCCGTGATGGTACCCCGTCAGTACGCCTGGAGACAGAGTCAGAACTTCAAAGAAGCTATAGTTATTAACGAGTAATAAATCTCTTCGTAATATATCCATTATTATTATTCATTAAATACGTTTATAATATTTTTTTCTATATTTTTCCACACCCGTATTTTACTTTATTATTGTATTTTTTCTTTTAATATATTCATATCTTGTTTATGTAATTTATCACAAATTTTGCTATTCTGTGTAGGCATGTTAATGCACTAAAGTACACGATGCTTTAGCAATATTGTAAACAAATTAGCTTATATGACGAATATTGGAGAGACTTATAGAAATTATGCCTTATTTTTCCAGTACAGACACTATTGAAACAATCGGTACGCATGCTTACATATTCAAAATTTAGTGTATCAAAATTTTAGTGTATTGAAATTTCATTATAACTAAAAGTACCTTTGAAAACGGCGATGATTAACTTATTTTATCCACGTAGTAGAAGATCATCTAGCACAATTGTTGTTTCTAGCATTGCAATCACATTGCTGTTTTCATGGATACCTCCAGTTTTAGGCATTGTAGCTGGAAATATGTTGGCCAAAACACAACTTTCGAATGATTGCTATAATTCTTGTATTTTTATTTTCAACAAATTATTTCCATTATTCATTATTTCTGGCATCATTTGAAAGTTGATAATGTTTTACCATAATTATATATTATAAGGAATTAAATTATATAATACAAAGAAAACAAAATGATAAATCTCTTACAATGACAATTTAACCTTATCTATAGATCTGTTCAATGATATATTAGTAGGCCTACCGTGTAACGAAACTTAATTGTCACATGTCGTAGATTATCTATCTGTTAGGAATAAATATGCACGTTGCATGAGTTAAATTACTTTTGAATAACATAATTTGTACAACCAAAGAAGTTATTAGATTAATTGTTTTAATTGGGAATAATTCGCTTACGTTATTTGACATTAATACTTCATTATTAGTCTAAACCTAAACGAAAACCGAATATTTTCCAATTACAGCATTATTAAATTGAATATTTACATTTTTATTAAGTGCGATAATCGATAAGCCATGTGATGTTAGAATCTCAAAACTATTAGTTAGTTTGGTATTAACTATTGAATAACACGCATGTTGTATATAAGTAGACGCTTAACAATAGTTTGTGCATTTGCCTGTTTTTTGTTTTTGTTGCAGCGTATTCTCGATAGCAGGAGCAGCTCGAAACCTAGAACTTCTGGAATGAATATGCCTTAATACCTTGTCTTCCATTTCCTTAATCTTCCGACCAAAATAACTTCCTTTTAAGCGATTTTATCACTGTCGCCGAATACAGTAATTTAAACAACTTCCTGGTCAACTTTCTTAGATTTCATAATTCATACTTACTCGTTTCATTTCCGCTTCCTCTTCTATTTTGTCCACTACGAAAGATATAAGATTGTGGTTGTCTCTAACATTTCCCATTTCAACTTCCCGATTTGGTGTTCTTTGACTTGATTTAAAACAATATGACTTAACTAATCCACGCACCCGGAGCACAGGTAATTCCTTTTCAAAATTTCTACGCTTTATCAGTACTGTTATTATAATATTAAAATTTACATAACTCGCACACACTATATTGATCAAAAAGAAAATTGTCAATTACAGTAGCTTTAGCAAACCACTTGAGCTTACGACTAGTTTAGTTATTGACTTGTTGAATATTACGTAATTAAAGTAGAGGGTTTGTTACAATTAAGTCATTTATATATCTACACATTTAAAAAATTTTTGACTAATGGCAAAATCATCACAATTGTTAAGACAGAAATTCTTTTTAAGATTTAAGTACTTTTATGCATTTCAATCACGGAATTTAAGTCATTATGTTAAATCTTTCGTATCACACGCAATCCGATATATCTACGTACCTATTGGATATAATGTATTTCTTATTGTTTCTTCGCCTGTTCGCCCTCTCAGACTGACCACAATTTCGGTTCTATTTACCACAAGTCATAGGCCGCCCGAAAACCTTTTTATTTTTTGTCGTGGAATAATTATTTTCATCAATTTTATTTCTTGGAATGTCAATCTCTTGTACAGCTGTCACTTTTCGACTATCTTTAATTATTCGGCGACAAGAAAAGGAAGGGAATCGCCTTTTGTTTCTTTTTATTCTTTTGAATGATTGTGATCGCATTAAGACATATAGCTCTATAAATAATTGTGAATATACTGTGTGTTCTTAATGGGTCTTCTTATTTGAATGAATGTATCTGAATGTTTCTTTGGAATCTATGTTTTGAATTATTAAAAGCGTGGTTACAAGTGCCTGATATTAGTTAAAAAATTATAATTTCGCCGAGGCATTATATTACTTGCAACCGCGCTTTTATAATGTCTGTTGGAGATTGGCGGACACAGCTAGAAGTGCGTGGAATGGTGCGCAGGCCACCGGCGGGTGCGTCGGGCGAGCTGGAGCACGAGGAGGAGGAGGAGGAGGAGGAGGAGGAGGAGGAGGAGATGTGCGGCCGGAGAACGCCCTTGATGCGCTACTAGACGAGCTCCAAACATTCGCCAAGCCGTCCGAGCGCGGGGGACGCGGGGAGGGGCCACTTCGTCGCTTGCACTCGTACCCGAGTGGCAGCGACACCGATGCCTCTCCACCGGTGCGTGCGCGCGGCCAACATCCACCTAAGCCGCCCGTACCTGAACGACACCCCGAGCTACTCGCAATGGCCGCGCGCCGCGCACCGCCGCCACCTCCGCCTCGGACCACTTCGCGCTCGCCTCTCGCCTCACCCACATCCCCATCCTCACCACCACGCGTAGATCCTGATCCCTCGCACGCCCCAGACCCCAACGACGAGAAGACCTCATCGCGGCAAGCCCTCCTCGAGCAACGGCATCAAGAACTCCTCAAGAAGCAGAGAGCGTTACAGGAGCAGTACGCCCGCTTGCAAATGATTCAGCGCAGCGGACCTACCCTTCCACCGAATGCCCAGCCTGATTTGAAGAAGACGGGAAGTGAATCCAACCTATTGACTAAGATGAATTTGAATCTTGCCACCGCCGCTATCTCAGGCAGCATGACTCATTTAGCTGGCGAGGGCGAGAGAATAAAGAGTGTGGATGCTTCGACAGCATCAGAGAAGCCTTCGCAAGGAAACAACATGACGGCAGAGAGCGTTGCAACTACGAACAAAGTTTACGAGACTGATATACTGTGACCTTGTAGTCGTTGCTTCATTGTATCTGTGTAAAGTTGAGTACTAGTTCATTTAAGGGTACTTACGCAACCGTGGATATGGTCTTCGGTACTATTATATGTGGTGTGCGAACGTATTATAAGCACACGAATATGCTAAGTCATCATGGAGTTAAGACGATCGATCAGTGCTTATAATATTCTGTTCGGCCCACCTTAGCTCTATTCCATATAATAGATAAAGTTTTGCTTGTTTTAATTATAATTATCAAATACATTGTATCACAATTTAGTTTGATCGCGTTTTTAGGTTTGTCAACATTGCTAATCCAATCCAAATCACATTAATCACGTTCACTACATCATCCACATAAGAAACACGAATCGGAAATGCACTACACGGACACCGATCTATATCTACAAATGCGACTATAAGGCAAGCACATCGGATGCACCGAGACACACTATTACAGTGTTAAAAATAATATGAAGTAACACAAAAATCCAAAAAAAATATCTGTAGTTGAATGTTAAATGTTTGTGACACAGTAGACAAAAACAATCTTTCTTAGCTTGCATTATATTGAGTTTACAATGAATCCATAACTGTCAGTATCAATTATGTTGTAAGTCTACACTTAGGTGAAACTCTTATATATTGTCTATAAGCTCTATTTATCCACATTCTGTATATACGTCACTAAGTAAGGTGTACTCTTTACCTAGATCGTACACTTTCTACTAAGATTCGTAAGTAACCTGCGTTATTCTAAGACTTATCTTACAATAATTATTAAGTGCCAAAAATACTAATTTCTCACTATACAGTCAGTATCTAAATCCTTTTGAAACTAAGCAACGACTATATTAAAGAACCCATGTCACATGACACTGGGATTAAAAATAATTACAAAGGAAATAAAATTTCAGACTAGCTAAAGCTTCGCACAACGAAAACAAAGTTGTAATGATCATGGAAGTTACTATCGAAAATTTCTTACTTCTACTATAAACTATTTAATATTTTTGACGGCTGCTTTAAAAATTTCAAAATATAGTTAAAATCGACTGTGATAAGAAAGAGTTACCTTCGGTGAAATGCTTAAGAATTAAATTCTCCAATTTGGCACCGCTGTTTACTTATTTACACTTTACGCGTCAGATGAATTTCTAAGTACATTGTACTTAAATCTGCAATTTTTTTTGTTCAAGTTAATAAAAACGCTATCTGCATATATTCGGTATTAACTGATTTATGCACTTAAATTACAAAATCTAATGCATACTTGTTTGAGAAAACATCAACCATCATAGATGGGTGATTCGAAAATACTGGTTTAACGACTTACAAGTATAATACTCGCACTTCAAAACCGTCATTAATATTAGTATAGTTAAATTTAACATTATCTTTATAACATTATAGTATAAATGTGGTCAAATTGATTGAATTAATGAAATAATGAGTGATATTGTTGTATAATATAATTGTGTTAAAATATCCTTATTTTTAGACTCGAAATATATCTGCATTAGAAAATGTATAGAGTCTAGATCTAGCAATAGTATATCTTATATGTTATACCAAATAAATGTTTTCGCTTTTAAATGTTTGTTGCAAGGTAACACAAAATTTCTTATTGTAATGCACAAAACTTTCAAGCACTTAGTTGTTAATTTTCGCGTGACGCGCTGTAATAGAACAATTCTATAGAACAGAACAAGATAATTTTATGCCTGTTACTTAACAAATATATTAGCAAATGGTCTGTACTTATAGAAATAATTCCTCTTTGGTATAGCAGGTCACCGAATATTATTACTTGTCCTGAAAATGTCATCTGAATAAATAATGTCATCTAAAGAAAAAATATTCACGTGGAACAAAATGGCCGTGTAATTGATAACTTATTAAATCATAACTGTCACTAAAACACTTCATAGTAGTCGTACCTACTGCAGGACATCAAATCGGCGACCGCATACTGTAAGGAATTGAAATGCTTTCTCGTTTCACATTCCTGTATGAATTTAAATAAATATAATTATTAAATTTACAGATTTTCGTGTAATGTTGTATCTATGAGTAATTTATTTAATTAATATGTTAAATAATTAAGTCTATTTTATTACTTTACATATACTTCAGTATATCGAGATGTGCCAAACCTTGCATAACTTGATTTTTATTGTAATTAATTAATGCAAAATATAAAAACGAATTATTTTGTGTTCTTTTGTATACGTCATTTTTAATAGTTTTACAATTATTATAATTATTTCTATATCTAGTTTAAATATTGTTAATAATTAATTAAATAGATACACGCAATGATTTTATAGCTTGAAGCTTTACCTTATAATATTATTATAATTTTTATTGTTCATTTAAATATACTTACGTTAAAATATACTATTTCTTGTTTCATTATTATTATTCATGTTAACTGTATAGTTTTAACAGGAATAGCTTGAAATGTTTTAATGTGAAATTAAATAAATATATACACGTCAAGTTAGTGATCTGTTTCATTTTACTCAATATCCCCAATAGCTAATAATGTGAACATTATAATAGACCGACTTGAAATAGAAATATACTAAAAATTCATACATCATTTTCGGTTGAAGCACATTATAATATAAGCAGTTGCTTGCCTGTTGCTATTAAATATTTGTACCTACAACTTACTATATTAAGGTCTTGTGTGAATTCAAACTTCCACAATTGCACTAATACACGAGAGTAAAGTATTAAATATACCAGTACTAGGGTAACAAAATAAATAGGTTATCTGAACAGAGCAAACTAGTCTCTTCAAGCGACACCATTATAGCACATCAATATAATTTACTAAGGTTACCTTCTATCTTCATTTCTTTATTAAATATGCAACAATACAATTTTCATTAAGAGATGTGAAATCTTTCTAGACGAGTGACTTAAAAAGTGGCTAATTTTGTACAGTAAAACATGAGAAACTAACTTTCAATTAAGTTATAGCTACCCGCAACTTCTTGCAAATAATGAAAAAATATTTAATAGTCTAACCCAAAAAAGGCAATTAAATAATTTTCATCCTTATAACCTCAAAAATGACGAATTTCCATACAGAATTCCATACAACTCAATCAATAGCTTAAAAAATATTTTTTAACCTTTCGGCTTTAAAAATGACGATTGTTCCATACAACTACGCATCTCTCCTTTCAACCCTTCTTTTACATTCAATTGTAACCTATATCCTTTCTCAGGGTCTAGACTATCTATATACCAGATTTCATTTAAATCGCTTCAATATTTTGACGTGAAAGTTAAGGTTTGCTTTTTTTTGTAAATACATACATAATATACATAGAAAACACACAAACGAATACAAACAATCTTAGTTATGGATACAAATGTTTGTATCGTGCGTTGAATCGAAATTCGCAAACTTTGAAAGTAAAGTGGTGTGCTAAACTGCAGCCACCACCGAGGACGTGTGTATCCGTATTTCATTACATTAGATTTCAGTATAAGTCGATTTATAAAAAAGGATATATATAGTATGTATATTATAGATTGTTATATTTCCTCTTCTGGACTTATTATTTACTTCCATTGTTATAAACTAGATGGTTGAGTTTTAAAAACAAACAATATGTAATTTAATAGTATTTATTTATTTATTCTTATGTAAACTAGACATAATTATGACTGAATGTGACAGAATCGAAACAAGTAGAACAATAGCTCAGTACGTAACACGTTGTGTTATAATTAATGATATTAAGTAATTACAGTTAGTTCATATAAATATGTACTTTGGTTCACTTAATATATGTATAGATATTAGGCGTCTGTTGTGTACACCTGAAACAAAAAACATGTCATATGAGTGTCTCGTAGTAGACATAATCGAATTTGTCAATAACAAACTGATGCAGAGTTTAACAACACATTTAATTTCTCTTTTAGGGTTAACAAAGATTCAATTTGGAATAGTAACTAGCCGTGTAATAATTACAAGCAGTAAAAAAGTATATAATAATATAGAGGGTATATAGAAATAATAAAAACGCCTGTTCAACGCAATTAGCAAAAACTACTGACACAATGTTGGTTTTAACAATGAGTAACATAGTAAAATACTACGAAAATAATATTATTAAATTCAGAACAATTCACACAGTACCATCTAGTCTCAAATTGAACAGAGCTTGTATGATAGGTACTGAAGAATTGATATAAAATTTTTAATACATATATTATTTGTGAAAACAATACATAAACACCTTATAATTATAAGCAATGAAAGTGACTATCTATCATATAAATTAAATTGTAGTGTTTGTTTGTAATTTAAAATTGACAGTTTTTTACTATGTTAGGCACATAGTAAAAAACTATCAATTTTAAATTACACACCTAGTTTAAGTTTAATGTACACCTAAAAATTAATGATAAACAAAAATTATTTTTGTTTATCATTATTTTTTAGGTGTAAGTAATAAACCTATCTATCCCGTCATATTCGGTCCAAACGTTTCAAAGATTAATAAGAACAAATAGACAGACTGTCAAAATTACATGAAAGTATGTACGGTATACTTTCATGTAATTTTGACAGTCTGTCTATTTGTTCTTATTAATCTTTGAAACGTTTGGACCGAATATGACGGGATAGATAGGTTTATTTTTTTATTATTATAAATAAAGTTCTGACGACTCGCAGCTAACAGTTATATAAAATTACCTTTCTCTTCAGCTTGAACTTTTTGTTGTCTATGTAATCTTGCAGGGCGAGGTATATGAATCTGTATTGCATCTTATTCTGGACCATCCCGTTTCGCTGCGCCCTCACCAGTTTCACCGTGTTATGTACGTCAATGTCACAGTTGAAACCTACAACAAATTGGTCATATAATATAATCATCATATGACCTTATGAGGTCATAATATGACCCGAAAACTTAAATATATTTAAGTTATTATATAACTTTATTAATAAATAACCCTGGACAATTAACACAACGCCATCTAGTCTCACAGTAAGCAGAGCTTGTGTTATGTCTACTACACAACTGATATAAATACTTAGATATATATATTGTAAATATATGTATATATATACACAAATACAAACAATCATACTCATGAATATAAATCTTTGCACAGTGGTGTGCTAAACCGTTAGACTAGAGGGCCGCAAATATACAAACAAAAACATAAAAATGAGTGATTTTTTATAATTTATATATAACTAACTACCAGCTCCGGCTTCGTACGTGTGTATAAGTATTATACATATGTAAACCTTTCTCTTGAATCACTCTATGTATTGTTAAAAACTACATTAGAATCCGCTGCGTGCTTAGTTTAAAAGATCTAAGCGAACAGACAGTAGAAGCAACTTAATTTTATACTATGTAAAGATTAAAAATAGATGTTATTTATAAAAATAGCCTCTCTTGATATGAGTTAATAAAGAATACGCAATTTTAATTTAATATGTATTATTATTATCATACATGTAAATAAAGTTAGTAATCACAGAACATAATTACTTGTAAAACTATCCAAATCTGCTGATAAAAAATAAAGAAGTTACTAAATTATTATTTTTATTTTACTACTGACGTCAATTAAAATAGATTTTAATCCAATTTGCAGGTACAATATACTAAAACAGTGTATAAACTATACTATTTCTATAAACTTGATAAAGTAAAAATGATGAAATAAAATAATTGAATGTCACTGAAAGTATAATTAAAATAAATACTCAAAAATAATAATTATTAACTTACCAGCTGATTTTATTTTGTCGATAAGCATGTCCAGGACAATGAATGTGCCAGTCCTGCCTACTCCAGCTGAACAATGCACGCACAGCATATTCTGCAATAAAAGCATTTTGAATAACTTGATCTAAGAAATCTTCTATTATGAAGTCCCACTGGTACAAAGAGAACCAAAACTTCATTATTTACTTTACCAAAGGAATAAATAGTAGTTCGATAAAGTTATCATAGTGTTATTTCATAGGTAAACAGAGAAATGTGTTATAAAAAACAATCAATAGATTCGACAAGTTATTACAATTAATTAGATTCTGTCCGCAACTTCCTTAACTGAAACTAGCAGACTGATTGACTGTAAACATTAGAAGACTTGACGATATGAGACAATCAAATGATGCTACTGATCCCATCATTTAACTAGTAGATTGCCTTAATCTACTAGGATACAGTGGGTAAAAAAAAAATCCCCAGGTCATTTAGACTAAGCAGAAGAATAATCACGAAAAACTCTCACAATACCTGTTCAGGAGCATTTTTGCTGTGTGTGATTTGATACATTTTTCTGTTGATATCTGCGATAAAGCTGAGCACTCCGTCGGGTTCAGCTGGCGTTCCGTGATCCGGCCAACTCTGAAAATGCAAAGAGTTTAAATTAATGTATTTATGCAATTAAAAATATATGTAGCTACATACCTAAAACCCAAATGAGTTAAATTTAAAATAATCTACAGCTGAGATCCGATTTTGCAAATTTTAGTTATGTAACTCACTTATCGAAGGAGGCTATGTAATACCACGTTAAAATCTCTAGAAGCGGAACTGCAATTAATAATATTGCTATAACGGGGTTGTAAATGACGCAAACGAAGTTTCAGGGTAGTATTCTATAAAGTAGAATAAAGACACGATAATAGAAACATGACTGAATATCCAATTAAGTACATTACATACTAATGTCTTCAATAAAGACATTTTCAAAACAAAAACTGTGAATACGTACCGTAAATTGATATTGATAGATTGTTCTGCAGCATTTTTTATCGTCCGTTACATCCAGTTCCCTCAACAGATAGTCCTCATAGTGAGTTTCCGACATTGATTTCACTATGAGACCATCGAACCTCTCCTCACGCCCTGATAATGGCCAGTAACGCTCACACTTTTTCTACAAAAAAAAACAAGTTTTTTAAATAATTATAAATTTAAAGTTGTAATCAAATCATCACTGGAATTTAAAAAAAATCTCAATATTAAAACACAAGCACAAACTAACTGTTGGTAAACAGTAATCGTTGCCAATATATGTACTCGTACATATAATAGGACTACGAACGTCACGTTATCATGGAACACCCGCGATAGCACTCATACTTATTCTGAAATACCAGAGGATTAAGATGTCATGCCTTATCCTGAAATTTCACAGCCTAATCTGCATAAGCAGCCTAAGCTTACAAAGCATGCTTGATGGCCTCTGATTGATCCTCAGTCTAAGTCTGATCCGTTCGAATATAAGGCCTTCCGCGGGTTTGTAGTGCCATCTGCCCCATATCGCCCGGTGAAGCTGTAAAGACCAGCTGCGGCCAACAATATCACCGTTTACCATAAGGCGGATCGTCAACTTGTTTATCATTCAAATTATATACAAAGAACATATTTTATACATTTTCGAAAATTGTAATACACGTAACTTTGAATACGCTGTATCATTTGTATTCATTTAAGTATATGGACAAGGTTTTACAGATACTTATTTTGAAAAATAATGGTATTTTGGATTTATAATTGTGCAAAAAATCTCCATCCAAAGAATGAATTTAAACGCAATTTCTGATATATTGTTGCAAGCTTTCCGTAATGAACAATGTCAATTGTTATATTTACAACAATAAAATTTACCAAAGGCTCCCAGTAATTTTTCTAGTTATATGTCTCACGCTTCAAACTAAAAGATGGCAGGCAGATATAAGGAATATGATCCGAAAGTAACAGTTGAGATAATGGATTGTGACAATTCTACTGATAAAAGTACAAGAATTTTCCTATTTTCTAATACCTTGGGAGTTTTTCTATATAGATGTAGATACTAAATAGCAACTATGTATATATCTACATGTTTCGATACTATATTAGGCCCATTCAATATAATTATTTATTTTACTTATTAGGGTCAAAAATCTATTTTAGCACATGAACTTTACGTACCTTCCCATTCTCATATTCGTTTGTAATCATGGCAATGATTCTTACGTCTTCTTGCCATATCATCCTCCAGAAGTCATCTCTTGTATTTGAGAGGCAACCTTGCGCGGCAATGTAGATTTTGTCTTTTACTGTAAATGTTAAAATTTACATTAATAAACAAACCTTGGGGTATCAACTGTCAATTAAACTGGAAGTTTAAACATATGCTCCTAAATATTTCTTGATTGCTGATTTTCATAGGAACCCCATGGGAGGAAATTTTTATAATGTGTATTAATTACTAAGACACTACTTAAAATTCGAACCCTAGCCAATGTAGTACATTTACATACATGGTTAATTTTGTTAAAGTCACAAGAACCATTTTTGTGACTTCAACAAGATGAACTATGTACCTTGATTTCATTTCAATCCTTTCGCCTCGTGAAAACAGGATTCGAATCTGCTTATAAATTGTTACTAAATTTTTCACTGCAGATTTTAATTAAGTTTAATTTAGTTGACAAAGAATAAAAAATGAACATTGTTGAATAATGAAAATTTTAAGTGTTGTAATATAATATTAGAACATGTAAATTTTTCGTAATAATATGAAGAGAATCAAAGACAAACTTATACTTTAATTATCTAAATACAAATCACTACAATATACCTACATAAATGAAATTAATGGGCCATCGGATATATCCTATAATATTGAATTACAAGAAAAATATTATTAGATACTTCAACAGAGAGAGCGAGGTTTGTCTTAGCTACTCTATAAATGTTATGTTAAATTTAATTGTCTTATTTCATGTGATTAATCTACCAATAGTTTGGAAAGTTTTGCTGAGTTTAAAAATCAGTTTTAACTATTTTCAAATAAGATTTACACGATAAAATAGAACCGAGCATCCTTTAAACTGTCTAAATATGTCTCTATTTCTGCAAATTTCTATAACCTTGTCTCATTAACCTCGTAAACAAGGGTTGTTATTATGTTTTCCTTAATTAATGAAGGTAGGCTTAAGATCTATACATATCTAATAATTCTGTGCCATAGATCATAGGTCATTATATTTGGCAGTCTTTATATTGAGAGCAAAAATGAATCATGAAGTAATTTTAGTGCAGCTTTATTAATATAGGTGTAGATTAACTTTATTTAGTTGTGTTAAGGAGTATAGACGCTGGTCAAGCTGCTTGGTATAGTGTATTATTTTGAATATTTTTGTTCTGGTACCGTTGTTTCTGTTTTTTGCCTTTAGCGATATGTGGTGCAAATGGATGATGATAAATATTTATATAAGTATTCTAAGGCCATCATCAAACGTTTATATCCATTTTTTTTTTCATGAATTTGAATAATCGAAATTAATTAGTTTTTTTTTATTTTGAACAATATCTACCAACATATTGTGTTAAAATTTACATCTTCAGCTCTTTTTAGGTGAAACCTTATACACAAACTTACAAACATACAATATTAGCCTCGTACGACTTTAATAAAAAAAATAAAGATAAAGATGATCGGTGGTATTAATTCGGCTTGAGAAGGCACGTCTCGTATGACTTCGGTGACCTATGCCAGATCATCGACATTATAATGAACATTATAAAACCATTTATGTTGAGAATTTTAGGACATTTAAAACCTCAGTATAAGTCCTCCAGTCACGCTATATTTTTAGTGATGTAAAACAAAGCATAGCACTTATAATTCGCAAATAGGAGAAAATTCTAAAAAACTAATTAAAGAGAATGGGACTGTTTTCTATCTCTTATAGGTAGACAGACCCAATATGTCCCCCAATATATTAAAAATATTCCGATTTCCATACCAAGTAACAATTTTTATTTTTTATTTTACGATTTTTTATAGTGAATTTATTATATTACACTATTTTTGTATTATAGTATCAGTAAGACAACTGGCTTATGGTACTATTAACTTTATGTATACTAATTATAGAAAATTATATATATTGTATTTCTTACTCTGATGTATAATCCATATTACTCGAAGATTCATAAAAATCTGTTTAGTAGTTTGTGCGTGAAAAAGCAACAAACAACCATACATAATCACAAACTTTCGCGTTTATAATATTACTAAGATTTACCTGCATCACCACATAGGTTCCCATTAATTTTGTCCAGTTTATAACTCCACTTCACCTCTCTGAGTGCGTCATCTGACAGGGATTTTGACACGAGCGGAGTGGGTTTCCTTGACTCACCTCTCATTATTAAAGCTGTAACAAATGTATAGGTCTTACATATATCATATAGGCATATTAGAGGAAATAAATAACAATAATTTGGATTGACATGTGATTGCATGTTCAAGCTATTAAGGAGATAACCCACGGATATCTCTGTCAGTAGTTATGCGTAAAATTATAATACGAACTGAAAAAGGGGTCCTCTACGGATAATAACACTGAGGGAACATCCAGCCTCCCGAAAACTAAGCAAGATATAGGTAGAATATCAAGGCCTTTTGTTTCTATTGGGAATTTAGGCAGTGCGTCACTTTTCATGATGGCGATGGAACTAATAAAGGTACATGATAACCTCCAACCGACAAAAGAGAGGGGACACTAACAGAAGATATATCATCACTACTTTTGATAGCCAGGATGTCGAAAGAGGCGATTTCTACATGTCTCATCACTCGCATCTGACGGGCAGGAGTTGGCCTTCAACCGATCCACAAGTCCTTCTATAAATAACTGAATATAATATTGTATCAAAACTGGCTATTATCTGCGACTTTATTAGTGTGGATTTTTTTTTAACTAATTAAATTTAATAATAGACAATTTCTAAACATAGTCTACTCTACGTAGAAATTGTCCTTTTAGTAAATATCTGCGAAATAAAAGTCCCGTCAAAATTGGTCCAACCGTTTCAGATATTACCAAGAACAAACAGAAATTTAGACATTTTTTTATATAATTTTCTTTGAAGTAAGTTAAGTAGTATATATACTTTCATTTACATTTAGTGAAAGTTATATACATAACATATAAAATTGATTGATTGAATATGACTTAAAATATTGATAGATGCTTGTCAAGGATAATTAAATTTTTGCTCTTCTTTTTCACCATTAAGTATTTCTATTTTGATATGAACATAAAATAATAGCTTTGTAAATTCTACACAAATAATGTAATTTATTATATGCCAATCTTCATATTGTAGGTATGTACAATAATATATATTTAAATTTAGATATACTGACCATAAATCAATATTTAGTGGTTTGTTTTTCATTTAACTTATTAATCAGTAGATACTTTATGTAGGTAGGTATCCTAATTTATAACGTCACTATAAATAAGTTGTGGTATTTCCTTAGCATATTGTTTATGTGACAATAATTAATAATGTCTGTATTTATATACAATAATTTAGATTAAAGTGAGCTCATGACTAGTAATGTAACATGATTCTACATAAATATATCTCCCTATAAGAACATGAAACGCAACTTAGGTACCTATTTCAGTCCCCAAACTTGTAAGCTGTATTTCTGTTAAAGGATGATATGGTTATGATATAACAATTATAATAGTCCTTCGGATTGACAAAGCATAAAGTGGTAAACAGTCGTCGCAAAATGACGTTATGTACCTTGTGTTCAGATATCAAAGAGATCTTAAAAACATACTTGACGACTGAACAACACACATAAATACTATATATGTAAAACACGGGAATAAACAGCAGAGAAAAGATACTCCTTTAAACAATCAAAAGACAGGCAGTTTGCTAAACCTTTAAATTACCTAATTATTAAGAAGTATTAAGAATAAAAAGTAGATTGTTTCACACTCACAATGTACGCTGTCTAAGCTTTCATTTGATGACTGAACAGAGCTGGAGGAGTCACAGAGGCGAGAGGATCGTATGTAGTTAGCGTTGATGTAGTCCGCATCAGGCCTGTTATGGCAGCCACGAAGCACCACTCGGGTCTGATCGTCTAGAACAATGAAAATAATGTAAAATGACTTTTACGCCCTAAGTCCTAAAACCCAAATCCCCTTACATTTTGATAAGCACATTGTTTTGTTGTGTGATTAAAACTTTCAGATTTACAGACATCGTTATAGTAATTGTTATAATCTAATCAATTACTTTTTATTGCATCAGTAATTCATGTCACACCAATTTCAGTAATTTCAGAGTTGATCATATTTTAATAGTTAAACTTTCGTGTTTTTATACTCTTTAATAATAGTCAACGTTGGTTGCACCATTTCAAAGATTACGAAAAACAAACAGACGGACAACAGACTCTAAATTTTTTTAATAATTATTTATGTATATACCTTTATATGCATTTAGTGAAATATAATTTGTTAATTTGAAATTATAAACAGACACTTAAATTATATTATTTGTATAGTTACAAGGATAAAACATTTTTGCTGTTCTTAATATTCGAATTGAATTTGCAAATCAATTAATTATCAAAACAGAGATACAATATGGTATCTCTGTTTTGATATAAACATATGAAAATAGCTTTGTTAATTACACACAAACAAATAGATTAATTTATTATTTACTAATTGTAGTGAATAGTAAGTATGTATATTTAATTATATTAAGCAGAATCTCATACTATCACAGTTGGTTACATTTTAAAATTTAGTGTTTAGTACTAAAATACTTAAATGTGATGTTACGGAATCCATCCCACCTTGGAGGGTGAGAAGTTTTACACAAACTTAGTGACTCACCCAACCCAATAAGGGTTGGGTGAGTCACTAGTAGTCAAGCATGCAATGTCACACTTTGTTGACCCTACCCTCTTAACGTTTGACGTAATAACGAAAAGCACGAAACACGTTCAGTAACAGTCGTCAGAATTTCGCATTGAATATTTGTGGTCTTACACTGCGGATATGGACTTCCGCAAAATAACACCTAATTAAATAAAATACATAATTAAATATTCTCTTTCATCTATAGACAGAAACATTATCCACGACAGGATTAAGTTTTATGTTATACAAAATAATAGCTATACCCGCGACTTCGTCCGCGTAAATAGTGACGTTGACGAAATAATGAAAAAATATTTAATGACCTAACCCAATAAAAGACAAATTATTAAGTTTCAAGCTTATAGCTTTAAAAATGACGTTTGTTCCATACAACCTTTTAACCCCTTACAATGCTTTATTCGCATTAAAAAGTACGCTAAATCATTTCTCAGGGTCTAGATTAACTGTGTACTAAATTTCATTTAAATCGGTTCAGTATTTTGCCGTGAAAGGAGACAGACAGACAGAGTTACTTTCGCATTTATAATATTATTATATTGTATAAGTAAGCAAGTAAGGATATCAAAACCCTTACAATCGTCTTCACGTGTCGCTAATAAAGTATAAAGTAATAAACATTTTAATTTGCATGTGTTCTCCTTTTGTTTATGTGGTTGACTTTGAGAAACAAAGCAATAAGTCAAGAACGGTGCACATTCGTTTATGCGTCGTTTCACAAAACATTTCCGCTTTATGGTGATCGATTAATATGGCATTGTAAATTAGGTATGTACCTATCTATGCAAATTAAGTACGTACGTACCTCACAACAATAACTAATGCATGTCAACGAGACTATATTTTCAAACCCTTTAGATTGACTTTCATTGATTCTTACTTCTTTAGCACTTGAAATGGAAGGGAATACATATACATATACTTACATGGCAGAATATTTCTGTATCTGTTTTTGACGGAGTTTATTGGCTTTTCTCCCTCAATGGTTGTGAACACGTGTCTGTCTTCCAGCATCTTTAGTGCGTGGAACTCTCCGTCGAATCCACTTTTATTATCCAGCTTGTGTAGATCTTCGGATTCCTGTAACAACGTTTGAAATAATCAATTTTACAACACTGCCCCCATTTCAGAAAGAGTTTTACGTCTCCAACAAAACTGAAACATCGAAACCTTGATTTTTTCATAAAATACAAAACTCTAATAGAAATTATTAGTTTCGTAAAAGAATCGAATTCAACAATGTTGCAATATTAATTACTGACTAAGTTAATTAATAATTGTACATGTTGGCTGACACGTGAGTTGTGTTAGATATCCTAATAGGCTTATAAGAATGTAATGTATAATTCAGTTATTGGAATAACTTAAATCCGCATTTATTATTAATATAATTTGTACCTTATGTGTATAGCATTAAGTATATAAACATTTTATGCGTATTTAATACAAACACCTAAACTGTAATTACACATTTTCCCATAATATACAGATGTATAGGTTCTCACTTATTAATTTGTACAATGTCAACCTATAAAATTAAGTATGCATTATGTATGTTTTTTACATTCGGTCTTTCAAGTTTAGAGTGAAAAAGAACTATTGAACTTGCATTTCTTAAACCCCATCATAATGAGACTATGACAGAGGCGTATGCATCTACACAAATATTCATAATTTAGCAATCTATTTTTTTAATGATAATGGATTGATGATACCGATTTCTCTGGATAACAAACCAGACAAGGGGATTATGGTGCACATAACACATCTTATACCCATACCTCGCATGCTCGCTTATAATCCAACGTGCATGAAGGGTAGACTCGCCTTTAGGATGAATTCTATTTATTATTACGGGACAGTAAGTAAAAATAAATTATAATTGACATAATAATGTGGGGAACCGCGGTTGAATAGAATCGCGGTTCCCCCTGGAATCCATACCTATTCTTGGTGAATTTGTTACGATGGGCTAACTGACCTGACCTCGTGCTCTTCTTATGATCCTCTACTAGTACGCGGCTAGCGTAAACTGTTATTAACCACCATCATTCCATTATCATTCATATAACCATAAAGTTATGTGCAACAGGAATATGGATTGATTGGTACTCCGTGACTAATTAGCTAAATGAGCATAACACTAATTTTCGGCAGCCCGAACTGAAACGAGTGTGTACGGCGACACATTCACGCAACTATTCCGACAGTTACTCATTCCTTCATAATCACTGACCTGCATCTCCTGGACCTTCTGGTCGATGTCATGAGCTCTAAGTTTCGTGCCGCTGACTGGCTGCAACAACCTTAGCACGTCTCCAGACGTTTCAATCATGGGATACGAACGAAAGTGCTCGATCAGGCCTACCAAGTCGTCGAACTGCTCGCCGCTGCCTACGTCGTATTTATTATGCTGGAAAAAAGATATACATATATTAATCTCTCTGGTCTACTGTCAATAACGGTAATGAAATGTAATAAAGATATTTTTTCTATATCCGTCCTCTTCACAGAGAAATTTCATTAAGATCTATTTAAAATGTGAAACATAACATTTTTGTATTTACAATTTACTAATTAAAAAAAAATATATATATACTAATGTAATATTAGTACATATATTTTAATTAATAAATTTATGTTAATGGTAAAAATAGAAGTCCTAACTCTAGATTACCTACAACTTTTCTCTGCAACATGATTGGAATTAGAAGAAGGAGAATCTTATTAATGAAAACAAGCCAACGTACCCGTATAATGATATTTTACGTATATTTTGTTTAGTAGATTTTTGCTTGATGTGGGCATATATTTATATGTAGAATAAACCACTAATATAAATTTCTTAAATATTTTTTCGTGACAGCCAGATACAAACTGACGGCGTTCATAAAAGAGAAGAAAATTACTGTCAACGGATTTAAAATTAGTGTAATTTGAAAACATATTTACATAAACTGAATCTAAACTTAAGCACATAATTACATAAAGATATATGATTGCTGCACAGTCAGGGCTGGCAATCGTACAGGACACCTTGTACAAGTACAAGTTTTTTGAGTTCTTCGTGCATAGCTAAATGTTTTAAAGCTGACAACCCTAGTGAGTTGTCTATGTCGTATATTTATATATGTAGTAAAAAGTATTATATATGTAGATCCTTGTTACTGTCAATTTGAATGACGAGTAGCTAAGAAATGCTATTATTATGATTACTTGTTTACGCATTTACGTTTCGATCACCTGACTTATATTATATAGCCACTTGATTCATAGATAAGTATCACAATTACTATATCATTTATTTTGTTGCTTAACCAACTGTACACCAAAACATTTAACCCTTATTAATCTCTGTTATTTGATATATTTTCAAATGATAAATTAGCACAAATCTTAACTTGAAAATAAGCTAAGAACAAGAACTAAAGTAAACAAGGAAACCCTATTATGATACGCGACGATATTTGACCCAAATTTCAGTTTATATCTTTTCTCCAATATTCCTGTTTACGCGGGAAACGGATATCCCAAAATAGAAATTTTCTGCAAAACGCCACATACTTCTACGAACATTCTTAAAAATACAAAATGTAAAAATATTTTTATCATACTGCTAAAGGAAAGTAAGTACTTTTTATTAAACTTTAATGTTGTACGCAAAGATGAAAAAATACAGGTTTACAAACGCCCACTTGTTACATATTTTCTACCAGTGTAACATGAATATCGAACAGAATTATCAGAATTTTTGTTGGCGATGCAAATAAAAGTGTATATATTTCATTCATACTAATGTAATAAGTGCGAATGTGTGTTTTGATAGAAAAAGATATCTATACATTCTTTACAACTGTGGAATATCAACTCAGCTTCAATTTTTAAATCATATCTACTTTTTAATACATTTATATGTTAAATAGAAGTTATCGTTTTTCACGGGAAGTTTTATTTCTTATTTTACGGCACCGTTGAAGTAATTTTTTATGAAACATATTTTTCACAATCTATTCTATTAAACATGAAAACTCTATTATTAGAACCAACCAACCACAAACGAAAATGTCATTTAATACAGTTCATATTTAAATATATTTTGTTTATAAAAGTTGTCACATTATATTGTGTGAATAATAGACACTTTCTCACAACATACTTTTGTTAATTAGAATAAATCTTTGTAAATGACCTACATTTAATTGACCTATACGGTTATCACTGCCCTCGGATCATAACGCGCGAAATACCAACATCGTATACCTAACGTTACATTACATTCTATCAATTTTAATAAACCTATTTAGAAGTTAAACAATATTCTTAACTGGACGTGATCTAAGTAACATGTTCTAGCTTAATGTTCAAGGTTACAGCGTGCTAATGGTCACGTATGCCATAAATGTTTTTTTACCACGACACTAAAGGCGATCATCGTTGACTGCGGTTAAGGGATAATATGTATACGATTTACCAAAAAAATGGCGTAATTGCGACAGATTATACATTCGTCAACGTTATTTATATAGGTGTATGTAAACATATACTTTTTATATATATATTTACTTTAATAGTAATAGTGAAGTATATTATGTTGTATGAATTAATTTGTTTTATTTATTTAAGATTTTAAGGCTTTATTGTGCTTTATTCAGGGCAACGAGCAAGATATTATTTTATATTTAATCATTTTTGTCAACACGCGAATGTTTATAACTCGACCATAATTAATTTAAATTATAAATTCGAACATTATTAAGTTTCTATTTTCAAAGACTATATTTACATTTATGTTTGTCTGTATTAAATACACCATGTATTTAGTATATATAATATCTTTTTATTCATAATTTTAATGAAATATTAGCATTTTGCACTCATTCCCTATATAAATATTAATAATAATCCTAAGTCTTTGCTTCTCCTATTAGTAGTAGTAGTAGTATGTACAGTATTTTATAAAATAAAATTCAGTTAAAATTAGTTGACATTTTTTATAATACTCCTCAATTATACGTACTCTCTCAATTCATTTAGTAATATCGATAACAATCTATACCAGTATAGGGCGCATTGTAAAAACAACGCAGTAATGTATGTTTTTTTAATAAATTACAATTTTAAATATTTCCTTATTATGTACAAAGAACGCTTTAAAATTCGTGGCACGCACTGCCAGCGATTGTTTTATTTTTTAGTCGAGTAAATTATGACGTAAAACATTTAGTGACGTCATAACTTATGTTCATAAAGCTATTATTTGTACAATAGTAACAAATACTGTGTTATTGTATAATATATCAGTTTTAATTAAATTAAGAAATCTGTAAGGGTTTACAATAATACAATCGAATTCATGAAATTCATGTATTATATTTATTTGTTTTTATTATTGTAATATTTTCTATGATAATATATTTAAAGAAATTATTGAAATATACATATAAAACTATTTGAATACAAATAGTAATTTCGGCAGGACCTATATTACTTCATACTATAAATACTGCATCTGCTGTTGAAACAGCTATAAATATATTAACAGTCGAGTCTATCCTGTATTTATTAGTACTTTTACTAGACTTCAAAAATATATAATAATAAAAATGAAACTGTGGAAAAACTGTGTGGAAACGGTTTAAGGAATTGGAAGACTGTCCCCGCTATCAGTCTATAAAAGCATATACAAAATTGCCTTTAAAGATATACACGATAAATAAAGGACATTAGAAGCATTTCAGCATTCAAAAATAAATTAATGTTATTAACTCAACAAAAATTATTATAATTTAGAACAATATTTTTTATGGATTGTATTTTTGTCCAATAACAATGATATTATGAATAACAAACAGCACAAGTCAAGATAGAAAGAGACATAAAAAGCCAATAGTATATAAAAAAGTAGCAGTATAAAACAGCTGTTTTTTATACACTATTATACACAACCAAGAATTACCCAGGTTTAACAAAGCAGTCATTGCCAACTAACCGCTAAACAAGTCACTTTATGTTTTTTCTATTTACAAAAGTACTAAATACTAAATTACATTTTATATATCGTTATAGATATATCTATTGAATTGATAAAGGGAATACCCAATAACCCGTAATTGGGTAAGAACCCGTCAAACTTCCACGATGCATAATAAATACCTATCGATCTGAACACTATAGAAAGAACTAAGCGAACACGACATAGTCTAAACACGCAATCAATATTAATTGCCACATTTTCCCATACAAATCGTCATCGATTGAAAACAATGATATAATCATCTATAGTTTCCATATAGGTTTTTTATCATTACATTCGCTGTATAATTAATAAATGAGAACTGGAAACGTTTGTTTGAAATCAAACGCGAGATTTAATGTAGTCTTTGGTAAAATCTAAAATCGTTATCAATTCCAGATGAAATACAGACACATATATTATACAAATACTTATAGTGGACATCTAGTTATCCAACCACAATTATAATATATAAAATAGATTGAATTTACGCACTTATATATTAAGTTACCTTACTGCTGCGAAACAGCTCCACGGATTTTAATGAAATTCTATATGCATATGAAGTAGGTCTGAGAATCGGCTACTTTTTCATAACCGTAAGTGATAAGGATTGTTCACCCTTAACATTATTTTTTTAATTTTATGGAATAAATTTTGATACAGACCAAAAAGAATTTTTTTTATAGTATGATATTAAAAAATATATATTAATATATTTCACTAATATATATAACACAATTGTCACTCCTTTATTACCAACCTCGATTTTTTAATAACGATATTAGTACTCAAATGACTAAACAACGCTAACAAACAACTAACAAAATAACGTTGGCCGGAAGAACTAGTATCATACATATTTATAAATGGCGTTCTATTTTATATATGTATATAAAATAAAAGCACTACTTTTTTATGCATGTAGCTGAAAATTCATACTTTACCAAATATATTCTTCCTTTTAATACGAGTAATTTTTTTTCCGCACATAATCCAATTACAGGGACTTTTAATTGACAAAATGGTATCTAGCCCTAATTGACTGAACATAAGAATAATTGGAGTTCAGACTGTCGTTTTTAACTTTACATTATCTTTTCATCTGTTGTCATGTAAAAAAATTCATCAGATTTGTTATTCTTGAGTGATTTTGTACTAACAACAACCTCTTTAGAGGATCTAGCTAAAAAAATAGATGTAATACCGACTAAACTGTGAATTAAATATATCATGAATGCTTATGATAATCGTAAAGGTACTATTATTACTACTCTTTAATCAATACAATAAGGGGCGTGGATTAAACTGTTCAACTACATGAATACAAAACAATTATAACATATGGTTCTCAATAGTATAAAAGTAAAACGCACACACAATAAAAATGAAGTTGTTCT